ATTCATTAATGTTTAAACATGCTTAACGTGTATTTATTTTCAAAAGCATATTCATTAATGTGTAAAGACGTTTAATGTGTATTCATTATTTTCAAAAGCATACTCATTAATGTGTAAAGACGTATAACGTAGTTATTTATGATCAAAGGAAAATTGCAGAACTTCAAACTCTTTACAACTTGCCTTGATTGCAAGTTTTCGATACCCATACTGCAGTATTTGAGGTATGAAACTATACTAAACAATGAATGGTAACTAACACACTTCTTGCATGCAATGATTTTAAATACAAGCAGAGTTATAAACAGAATTGTTAACTGTTGCTTGGTTTATAATGTAAACATATATACATGTATATTTGTGACAGGTTATCGTTTTCCTTCCATTTACCCTAGTGGTGGCTAACTGTATAGTCCCCGAAACGTTGGTATAAAAAATCACTTACGCGTTGTTCTCAAAAGTAGACTGATAAAAAGTAATCAATATAAAACGATATTTATACGGGGAAATCGGTTGTGTTTATTATGGTGTTATAAAAAACATGTCAATAAGCAACAAAACTTTGTTTTAGAATATTAAATGTTTGTTATCGTAAGACCTAAAGTTTGTATTTTTACCGAAAGTAAGTGGTAAGGTAGATATTCAGATACGCGTTTCCGTAACTACAGTGTGTATGTGGGTGGGTGGTGTCGGATATTAAACAATTATACAAGAGAGCGAAACAATCTATTTGTTTTAATTGTGGGAATCAGGTAGAAGAACGCTTACCAGACGTATACTGTGCCCTCTCTGTTCACAGGTGTTTGCTAACTACAATACAGTTTTTGTACCAATTGTCGTTCATTAGAAAGGTCTTGACCATGAATATCAAGAAACTACATGTAATCCGGAAAAAATAACATTTAATATTATAATTAACAAGTGAATTTGACGCTTGAATGAATAGAATTGCAATGAATGTCATATGGTGAAGTAGCAAATGTATTTTCTGTACCTGCTGACTCACGTGCTGCGTAGCAGCGGACTGTGGTGCTCGAAAAAGAGGGATTAAAACAAAATTAGTTCAAGGTCCAACCTATCACGGCGATATGTTATATGTTCTTCCTATTTAAAAACGTGAAAGATATGTGTGTTTAGGAAGCAACTGCGCACGAGCATATCACAAATTGTCGGAAGACCTATAATTATGCTGCCCTCTGGCTTATAATATAATATTAGGTGCTGGGGAGTGGTGAGTCCAGTGGGTAATAAAAGACAAGAAAAATGACACAGAACAATCCAACTGAGACGATGAAATATCACGCCGTTTTTTTTTTTTTACAATTGAAAGGTGGTTTTAAGAAGACCTGATTATAAAATAACAGAGAAGCCTTAATGGCGTTTATTTTGGTAAAACGAACACACATATCTCTGTATTTCAATGACATTAAACGTGATTATATTCCTTTGCAAAATGTAATAGATGTATTTATTTACTATTTAGGAGTAAGTAATGAATCGAGTATAAATAACTTTTGTAGCGTTTTAGAGCATATAAGGAAAGTGTTTTACTGATTGAGGTAATAAATTAAAGACGCAACAGTAGCATATTTAATCACACCAACAATTGTACTGGGAGACCCCTACCGTTCAGTTGGTGGTTCTGTGTCTTGTTTGTGTCAGATACTTGTCAGTGTATTGATTTCTATTTGAAAAGAGAAGTTAAAAGTGATAATGGCTTCAAAACAATATTAAATCAGAAACTAAATAATAGTTTTGTGGTATTTTTTTTTTATAAATGCGACCTATGATCAATGCGCATAGGACAATATTCTTTACTGTAGTAAACATTTAATAATGAAGGTTTTACAGTCATTCCAAATACAGACATTTCAGTGATGTCTTCTGACACATTACTCTTGTATGTATTTATAGTTTAGAAACACACGGACTGTAACGCGCACTAAATGGGTTTGTTAAGGATGCTTGGATTATTGCTCGTTGTTGAGTTTCCTGGAACAAAACAGTAGTGGAGTAAAATAAACAAAATACTGAGCTAAAATACTGAACACAGGCCCAAATAGAGGAAGAAACCATTAGGCACGCACACTGCACAAAACAATTAAAGGGTGAATGGACTTAATAATATTTAGTTCATTATTATACAAATCAGACATCTGAAGGTCCTCACATGATCTGACATGTAAATAATTAGTTATTCAACCTAGGCTGGTAAATTAACATTTGAAGAAAGGCGGTTTCACATCTTTACAGTTTATAATATTTAATTTCAACATGGAGCATGGCCTCCAAGAATAGTAAGGCAGTCTAGCACTAATATTTGTTTTCGGGGTATCTATAGTGTATGAGGTCTCGTAACAGCATAAGATCCATCTCTAGATATACACTGAGTGGTCACAAGTAAATGGACACCTACTTTTTCGTCTATTTAACTGATTTATGC